CGCTGGCTCCGTCATAGCTGCTGCTGCACACTGACACATAAATATATAGTAATATTTTTAATAAATTTATATTTTTAATTTATATATATTTAAATTATATATTTAAATTAATAAATATTTATATTTTTAATAAATAATAGTATTTATGTGTGCAGTGTGCAGCGACAGCCACGGTTTGTTGCAGAATGTCATTGTTTGGACGGCATTTCGCAGGAAATTGTCGCGCTCGGCAATGCAATAATATGTGTGCAAGCGAGTTATAGAAACGGATTAGACTGTTGCGTAGTAAATAGAATTTCGCTATTAATTCGAGCCTTATTTGTTTCATATGCAAACGCTCCAAGGATGCCGTGTGTGACGTATTGCGGGGTCGATACTTGTGCGTCGGGCGACGTGGTGGATGCGATGTTGTCACTCGCCCTGTGTTCGTGTGTACAGACATGCCTCTTATAGTTCTGCTCGTGCTTACACGGAAACGTGTTTATCAGGAGTGCATAATAATAGATTCTGATTATCTTTATTATACATTCCCTCTGCTTATAGTAGATCACTTGTCACCTTTAATTAATTATAGGTCTCGAAGTTTGTAGCGAGGACTTCACGAAGGGAGGAAAAGTTTTATGCAAACCAGTTTGTAAGGCGGGTAGTTTCGCGCTCGGTGGCATGAAGTACTGTCAGCCTTGGTTGAGATGCGATGAGATAGCGCAACTCCTTGGCGAAAATCGCACAACGTTGTCGAAAACACATGGCGCTGTGAAGAAGGTATATGCTTTTCTTGTTGTTGTCAGTGCGTTCATGCATGGAAGTTTTTATCGAAGCGAGTTGTCGTCTTTCCAAACCGTTCGGAATATCATACATCATTTGACATGCCATTAATATTACATCAGATATTGGCAGTTCCTTCACTGACGCCCTTCACTGACGGCGATTGTGATACAATCAATTCATTTGACGTGAACCGTGAAATCGCATTTATTTACAGTTTTGAGTTTTACAAGGTTTAAGCTGGGAGAAATTACACCCAAGCTTAACTCTCTGCTGAGCTGCATCACAACACAAGTTAATTGGTAGCTCTAGAACTATACTAGCCTGCCGCCCCGCCGCAGCCGTAGCTGTAGCAATAGCTGCGGCGGAGCGGCGGACTATAGTTTTAGTGCTAGTCAATTGGCTACAATTTTGGTATTACTGCACCAGTATAGGTGCTCTCAGACACTTTCAGTCAGGAAATGTACTGGTGTTACAACGTGCGTAAAAGTTGTAGTGGACCATAGGTACATGTAAAAAATATTGGTGTGTGTGTGTGAGCTCAAACTAAGTCCTGACATATATACCAAAATGTGCTGTTCAGTGTGTACTAATGTATTGCAGCCTCTGCAGTTTAACCCTGTTTCCCTTGCAACCGGAGAGGACTACGACTATATGCTGGCACTAAAACAGGAATTTCGAGCTACAATACGAGAATTGCCCTACTACATCAAGCCACAGCGTACCAGCCGGGATGTCCAACGATACACTGACAAGTACCAGTTGAATGGAGCAGGAGACAGCTCATCAAAATGGGTACCAAGTCAGTGCTATTACAGATACACATTTTATTACTTTATTTACAATTGTACTGGTACTGGTAATCGATAACTACAGATTCAATGAGAGGCAAATGTATGACAAAATGCAATCTAATTCTATTTACATAAATATTTTAAACTCATGTTTCATTTATAGTCCCATTATAATATACATTCACATTTATTGTCATTCAGTGTGGAGCAGACTGCCAAAGGAGTTGCGGATACGAGATAGGAAAATAAGGAAGGATAAAACTGTGCTGAAGCCAACTATTCTGCTTCAGAACAACAAGAGTAAAGCTAACTCATCTAAGAATCCCAAAGATGTTATAAACACACTCAAGGTAAAGTATGTTTATAATGAGGTTATTAATATGGAGAAAAAAATTTAGATGACCAGGTAACTAAAGTTGAAGTTGTTATTGTTCATACTTACCTATATAACATACATACATGTTAGTGACAGTTTCAACCACCAATCTAAACGATCTGCAGCCCGGATATTGCGCGAAGCGCGAAAAACGCCGCTTAGCGGCACACTAACACAACAACGCTGCACTCATTGAATAGCAATTTCAACGGGTCTACTATAGACGCAATTGTGGGGCTATCGCTGAATTAAGCAGTTCTGGCGATTGCATGACGGGTTTGACTACCCACGTAGCTAGAGATTTCCTAGAAATGGTCGTAATTCTTGGTTCGCTACTCAGCGCGCTTGGTTTGCTGTAAAAAACGGAGTTGAACTTTTTTGTGCCAGCGACTAGTTCAGGCCCCCATATCAGTGACAGTGTAGTACATATGGCCTGCGATAGATGGCGCAACGAGGCTATATGCATAGTGTTTTGCTACGACTTTCCTGCAGACGGCTCGGCTGGCTATAACCTACACTGCTCCCCGGTCGACAGTTCCACACGCTACACTAACTAACTTCAGTGTAGCGAAGGATACTTGCCGGAGTGAAGGTGGCGAACGGGTACCAGTCTAGCTATAACCCCCCAAACTCCATCCAGCGCCCGTTCGTACACTCGTAGTTTCTACGAGGTTAGTTTAGCTCTAGGGTACTAGTACTAGAGCTAATTAGTTTATCTAGTACTGCCCCGTGTCCGATCTCCCGCTGCCGCTGGAACATAGGTGTTTGTTTACGTTTGGTGTACATTGATCGGCCATTGATGGCGTACCAACGCTGATCCAGGCATCCGTACTGTGATATTATGGGAAAATGTACGATATTTAGCAATGTCGAAATAGCCGCAGTTGTTAAAGCGCCGTGCTACTGGCGCGAACGTTGCTGGTTCAATCCCCGCATTGGCAAAATATTTTATCTTCACGAACTTCGCGCTGTTTCAACCGGATCCTCACGTCATACAACTGCTGGGATACTGCGAGAAAAGGCACCAGCTGCTCATCGAATACCTGCCTTTCATGGACGCAGATCGAGTGGACACCGTATTGGAGCAGTTGAACTTAACGCGGGCAGCAGAGAGGCGCATACGCTTGTCGCTGTGCGTGCAATACGTTGAAATTCTCGACTTCATGTTTTCCCGCGGCTATTACTTTCCCGACACGAACTCGTTGGGTCAGCTCTTGTCTCAGTATCTTCTCACAAACGATCTCCGCTTGGTGCTGGGCGATCTCGACATAGTGTACCGAGCTGGCGTCAACCAATATGGCGTCATGTTCTACCACAAAGACACGTTCACCGCGCCGGAGTTTTACTCGTACAGCGCCGCAAACTGTTCGCGCGAAAATAAGGCGTGTGTTCGCGGCCTGTACCTCACGCATTTAAAGCTGGAGATTTGGAAAGTCCCCGATGTGTGTAATCGCTTCCTAGGTAATTCGGCAAGTGTAGCAAAGACAACGGCACGGTTAACGCGCATTCACATGAATTGCAAACGAAAAAATCCGGCGGATCGGCCAATGCCAAAAGACATTCTCAATTCCTACACCCATGCACTTAATAAGCTTAAAGATGAACATGATACGCCCGATTACTCTGCTCATCATCTTGTAAATTTTTAAATATAATAAATGGTTATATATGATAATAGTTTCATTTTCAGACGTAATCCAGGGTTACGGTACCGACGAAAACCACGACCGCTGTGTTAGAAATTGTTTCTACAGTATACCATTTCACAGTGGTAGGATAATATGGCATGAACATATCTGTACGAACATACATAATTAGATATGTATAAATAATAATGGTCATTAGTGCATGACGTGATGAATCGCTGCAATCTCATTGGATAACGCAGCAGGCATTAT